TGTCTCCAAAAGACCTTTGGAAAGACTTGAATATGTATTTAATTCCCCCCACGCCCCTGCCCGAAATGGCACATTTTGTGAATTGTTTTTCTCTCTTCCCCTTATCTGCTCTAAACCTTTTTGCTACCCAACCTGACTTTGTAGTTCTGTTTCTTACTTGTTTATTATTGATTTTGTTCTTTTCTAGGTTTATTTTTTATGACGTTTTTAATGTTCTGTTTCTCCCTCCCGGCCAGTATAAAGGACTTGAAGTATTTTTGAATACCCACCCCAGTGAATTTCAGAAGTGCCATTCTGACTTTAGGGTTTTATTTTTTTTAATCACTTTATATGCCTGTTTCCAGCACAGATTATTTTCATAATCCATTAGGGCAAAAAGTTTGCAGTCATTCATATCCTGTGATTGGGTAATTGAATCATTACCTCTCAGAAGTTGCCCTGAGGCAAGTGAAACAGCTCTGGGCAAGCAGTGTTCAGAGGTCTCTGAGAACGTCTAAAACCAGGAGGCTGGAGGTTCTGTGATGGCTTTAAAAGCAGCTACCTTATTAAATAGGGTTTGTATTGATATTGGAATGAAGACAATCTTTCCAGCTCCGGGTCTTTCACTTGCTGTTGTAGTTGTATGTGTTTAATACACCTTGTAGACTTGTGCTTTTATAATCTTTAATTTGAAAATAATGTGTTCTCATGGATGCCTTCATTACCCCAGCTCTAGATGCAAATATTTAAATGGCTGCAGTGGTCCCGAGGTATCCATGGATGGTATAAATGCACCCCCCTCTCCTTGGCCTCAGTCTGTGGGACTAGAATTGAGGCCTCTCCTTCATCCCCAGAAAAAGGCTGAAGCAATGTGGCCATGGGTGGTAACTTTTATCCAGAACCAATGAAGAACTTGACTGTCTGAATAAACGTATTGACCTCTCTCAGAAGGATAAAACATCTAACAAATGCAAAATTTGTGGAGCTCTAAGGTCGGAGAAGGAAAAAAAAAGTTTCCGAAAGTGTTAACTACTTTTAAAGTGCTACATATTTATATGACTGAGAGATTATTTTTGTAGATAAAATGTCTGTGAGCTGGGATATATGAGCAGTGCTTCAGGCATTTAAAAATCACTTTTTACTCCTAGGGAGATACAAATAAACAGAACTTTCTTATTTCCTCTGAGTCTTTATACATTTGTTTTCTTTCCCAAGTTTGTGTTACCTCTAGAAATGGTTCTTATTTATTATAAAATCTTGTTATTCAAAATACTATGATGTTCCCTACAGAGGAAGAAAACTCAATACCATTTCTGGTCTCTGAACCCTCCAGGCTCTCCACTTCTGCCACCCCTCCCCACTTTCTCCGTGGCTTTAACATCAATAGTGATGTCTTTAAATGATGATATAACTTGTGTCTAAAATGATATTTTTATACCAGACCACCTCAAAAACATCTCCAATAAAATTTTACTTTTCTTTCAATATTATAAATTTATTCGGTTTTATTTTTTTTTTATATCAATACGTATGTGCCATGTGTGCCCGAGTACAGGAAAACGTGCTCACTTGGAAGTTTTCTTCCTAGAAAGGCTGTTATAAATATCTACTCTAGGAAGGTCTTGAAATTAGACATATCCATATTTGGCAACTAAAAAAGAAACATTTCAGTTTATGCCTAATCGCCTTCTCCCGGCAGCCTGCACAAAGCAGTTGAAGACTGAAACTATAATTATACATCCTGAACCTCTAGAGGCAAATTTTAAGCTCTAAAAATTTTCTTTTTGCCTCTCAGGAAAATGGCCGTTTAGAAATGGGGTGCTTCTTCGTTTTTAGCACCCAGGCACAATCAGTTTAGTAGTTGCTAACTTTTTGGTATGTAAGCTCAATGCAGATGTTTAAAACCTCACACAGTATGTAAACTCTTCTGGCGGCAGGGCCCCTTTTACGGATCTGCCAGAGAAAGCGCAGAGATCCCAGGTTCGAAGCTACTTTCGTTTTCTCTGGCCCGGCTTGATTTCTCTCATTTGCAACTGATTGCGGATTGCGGGGCGGCCAATTTCGTTTTAATAATGAATGAGACACACACTCAGAGAGAGGGGGGGGGGGGCAGAAGAAGGGACCATGATTCAATCTCTGGAGAAGAGAGAACCCCTGAACATAGGCCCATACCATCCTAAAATTTTCTGTTTTTCTCACAAGATATGTTTTCATCCGAAACAAGCCTGTTTTCCCTTCTTCTCCATCGTCGCCCCCTCCCCCCTTCTTTTTTGTAACTTCCAGACTCCCGGGCCGCACTCCATTTCCCAGGTCTATTTCTCAGGTTTCCTGTAAGTGAATGGGGGAAACTGCCTCGAGGTTTTCCTTTCATCTGTAGTTTGCCCGTCAGTTTTCCTCCGCCTAAGAGAAATGGGAGGTTTGCTGAAGATTAAAACTGCGCTCAAACGCTCTCCTGGCGGAATTTGAATTGACGGCTAAATCAATAACAGATGAAGACTTTGTTATTTATATGAATTCCTTTTATATTCCGAAGGGAGGAGGGAGGAGAGGAACCGGTCGGTGGGCTAAAGGCTGGAAGGGAGGCCCGCAGGAAACTGCGAAGCGCTGGGAGCGTCGGGAACAGGCCTTTCCTTCGGGTGGAGACTGAGAGGCCCCAAGGCGAGCGCCTCCAAATCCGGCAGGTTTCGAGAGCCGCTGGTGGAGAATCCAGGCCCGCGCGTCTGCGCGTGATTCAAGAGGCGACGGGAGCTTTGGAGCCGGGATACACCGCCAGACAAAAGGGCGGCTGCGACGCTTCCCCGTGTCTAGCAGCCTTCTGAGTCCCTCTGGCTCCGCTGTCCGGGCCAGCCTTGCTACCACGATCTCCGGCTTTCCAAGACGCTCAGCCGCGCCTGGCAGCAGGCTGTGACCGCACGGCTGGAGAACCCAGGCCCACTGCGCCGCCCTTCACTGTTGATCTTGACCGTGCGGCGGCGCCTCTCCAGGCGTGGAGCTCGCTCGCCATCTCCTGGGCAGTTGACGGCATTGGCAGAGCTCTCCGTTTAGCTCCGTGGCCAAATTTCCTTTCCTATTCCCCAGTTTACCAGCTGAGCCTCCTGCCTCCTCCCCATTCGCCGCCCTTGTTCCCTGTACCCTGCTCCCAGCTCCCGTGGAACGCATACAATTTTGCCTGCCGGACCTCGGAAATCATAAACGCAGAAGATGAAGTGGGGCGGCTGGGCACCATTCTGAGCCAAGGAGAAATTAAGAGTCAAGTTGTGTTAGTCTTTCCTGTTTCTTACTTCCTTTCTATCTTTAGTCCCGAGGGGCAAACCGCAGCTGTGCGGGCTGCCTAAGGGTCCGAAGTAGACTTGGAAATACCGGAGAATCTCTGTATACTGAGACGGGAGGAGAGGAGACGTCAGGGACCCCTGGAACTGGAGCTTTCGACCCGAGGAGGCTGTAACTCCTCAAAAACCGGGCGAGTTTCCAAAAGTGAGGGCCTGGGTCCCTAAGTCCCTAGGAACTGAGGTTGCAGCTTGTGTCTACCCACCTCCCGCCCCCCACTACCCCCCCCCCCCATAATGAAAGGTCGGGGAGTGAAATGCGTCTCAATGTCTGTGCTCCTAAAGAAACCAACAGAGCCTTGAGGAGCCCCCGACTTGCCCACCCCCACCTTCTACCCCCGCCCTAGAGCGGGAGGAAGAGGCCGATTGCGTTCCCCAGAGCCGCCCAATTGGTCGCCATAACTCACACAATAAAGTCGCAGCGCGGTGGTCAGCTTTGCCCTCCGGCGGCGCCTGTGTGGTCTCAGTTGCTGGAGCTGGCGGTCTAACCAATTCCAGCTTGGCTCGAGGACCGCGAGGCGGGCTGCAGGCTGGGGCGGGCTCTAGTCACCGGGTCGCTGGGGGTCTTGGGACTGGAGGCAAGAGAGAAGGACCCCTAGCCCTCTGGCCAGACTAGACCCAGGGCCTGCTGCAGTGGCTGCTGCATTGCTCCTGGCAACCGAGCGCTGCCCCGCCCATCTCCGTGTTCTCTAGACCCCGGAATTTGCCAGCCTCCCGCGCCCCTGGAGGCACTGAGCGGGGGAATGCTGCTAGCCCCTTTCCTCCGTGTGCCCCGCTGTTCCCGAGCGGTGGTTCTGGCTCTACTCTCCTTCCACACCAGGTCGGAGAAGCTTGACCTGCTCTGCCCGCCCAGAGTGGATGAACACCTTGGACTTCTGGTTTGCAGGATGTAGTCGCCAAGGTGACTCCTGGAGATAAAAGGAATGTAGCTTTTGGCCAATCGAGCTGCCCGGTCTGCGCCTCCCCAGGAGCAGAGGGCTTGGCCATGAAGAAGCACCCAGGATTGGTGTGAAGCTTCCTTTCCGGGCGCCAAATTTGGGAGAGTTTGTGATGTACTTCTCAATCATCAAACCTCTGGAACTGTGCCTGCAGCCCGGGACCCAGGCCTCAGGCAGTGCGTGGGTCTTCGCTGCCAGATCGCCGGTGAAGAGTCCTCTCCAGAGAGACTGGACGGGGAGGAACGGGTTAGGAGTAGCATTGCTCAGGCTCAGGGACAGAATTGGTGGCCCCACTAGACCACGAGATCTTCGGACAAGCCGAGAGTCACGCAGTACTGGAAAAGGCCTCAGCTGCAACTTAAAACTGGCAGAAGCAAGCCTGGCCCAGGTAAGCGGATGAAAACGGGAGTGCAAAGCCAATCAAGACCAAGAAGAGTCCCAAGGGACACTCGGGCAAAAACACCCTATGCCTGGTGCCCCCAGCTTCTGCCGCTAGGCCTGGAAACTTGCAGAGGCTTCACCTTCCCTTAATATGCCTTGGCTCTGCCCGGCAGGCTTGTCCTTCACCATCGAATATTGCGGGTGTTATCATAATACCCTGAAGGGGGGGAAACCGGGTCGGGGGATGTAGGCGGTGCCGAAATGACCGGCTTTGAAGAACCTGCAGGCAAAGTTTCGTCCAATCGTCTGAGCCTGTCCTCTTATTCCCGGTTGTAACTAAATACTGCTGCGAGCGCAGCCGAAGCCCTTTGTTGGAGATGTGTGAGCGCAGTCTTTACAGAGCGGGCTATGTGGGCTCGCTTCTGAACCTTCAGTCGCCCGACTCCTTCTACTTCTCCAACCTGCGGCCGAATGGAGGCCAGTTGGCCGCGCTTCCCCCCATCTCATACCCGCGCGGCGCGCTGCCGTGGGCCACCACACCCGCATCCTGCGCCCCTGCGCAGCCTGCCGGTGCCACAGCCTTCGGCAGCTTCTCGCAGCCCTACCTGGCTGGCTCCGGGCCTCTTGGCCTGCAGCCCCTGGGCGCCAAGGACCGACCCGAAGAGCAGGCCAAGTTTTATACGCCTGACGCGGCCGCTGGGCCTGAGGAGCGTGGCCGAATGCGGCCGCCCTTTGCCCCTGAGTCTAGCCTGGCCCCCGCGGCCGCTGGTCTCAAATCGACCAAGTACGACTACCCGGGTGTGGGCCGTGCCGCTCCAGGCTCTGCGGCTCTGCTTGAGGGGACCCCCTGCGCCGCCGGCTTCAAGGACGACGCCAAGGGCCCGCTCAACTTGAACATGACAGTGCAGGCAGCGGGTGTCGCATCTTGCCTGCGACCTTCGCTGCCCGACGGTAAACGGTGGCCACACTCCCCGGGCCAGTATGGGCCGGAATGGGAGGTGGGGTGCCGGGGAGAGTGTGTAGGGTGTGTAGGGGGAGGGAGCCTCCGGGGGCGGGCAGGCAACAGGGAGCGGGCTGGGCTGACTTGGGCTGGGGCTGTGTTGCAGGCCTGCCGTGGGGGGCGGCCCCCGGGAGGGCCCGCAAGAAGCGGAAACCCTACACCAAGCAGCAGATTGCGGAGCTGGAGAACGAATTCCTCCTCAACGAATTCATCAACCGGCAGAAGCGCAAGGAATTGTCCAACAGGCTGAACCTCAGCGACCAGCAGGTCAAAATCTGGTTCCAGAATCGTCGTATGAAGAAGAAGCGCGTGGTGCTGCGTGAGCAGGCGCTGGCGCTATACTAGCCCCGAGCCTGGCCGTGGCCGGGCCTGCCCATGGCCAGGCCTGCCTGCCTTTTTGAGCCGAAGCCTGACGTGGAGGAAGAGATGGGACTGGGGCTTTTCCTTCCACTGCTTCTCAGCTGGTCCTAGGTACCCTCCCGCTCCGTCTACAGCCCCCAAAGCAAGCAGGATATTTGGAGACCTGGCCAGTTGTGCTTCCAGGCTTTTCCCCTTTCCCGGAGGGGCTGTGGAAGTTGCAACACAACCTTGGCCTTGAGGCTTCCCCAGTGGGGACCTGGGGCCACCTGTCTTAGCTTTCGGCTGAGGCATTTACACCTGGGCTCACTCTAGCTCCGTTTTACTTGGATTTCTGCTTTCACATAGTTAGTCTCCCTTTCCCTTTCTCCCCAATTCCCTCTGCTTTTAGCAGGCACCTAGCTAGAACTCAGAGTGGAATTGAATTTAGAAAGGCCCCTAGGGTGGAGTGGAAAGGGCTGTGGGCACAGTTGTGCCTCTTTGCAGCCAAAGCCCCTTGTGGAAAAGCCAGAATCTTGATTGTGGAGAAAGGAAAGGGTACCACCACCACCACCCCCTCCTGTCTGCCCTGGCTGGTTTGGAAAGACCAAAGTCACCCTAGACCTTCTGACTTCGGGAGGAAAGGGGAGGGAGTGTGATGGTACAAACTTGGAGACACCTCGGAGTTCAGGCTGGACTGGCTCCTCCAGCTGGGCAGAATGGATTGGATACTTTGTTCCCATGAATGGGACAAGGGAGGCTGGGGTTCCATGGCAAACTGCACTTCCTAGCCAAGACTAGGTAAAACTCCCCTACTTCTCTCACCGCCTCACGCCTCACGCATGTCTAGGCCAGAGTGCTACAGAGTGCTCTGTAACTGGACCCCCTAGCTGAGCTCTGATGAAGAGCTGCTAGTCTGTTTTGAGACTGGGTTGCACTAGAAGGAGGGGGAAATGTCCAGGGGCAGGAGAAGGGAGTGAGCAAGGTTGGAGGGGGTCCTACAGTCCCACTGTAAATATGGCTTTCCTTTTGAGATATGTAAAGGTGTCGACATGTCTTTCTTTCCTGAATTACAGTAATGGGCCACCGCAGGAAGAAGTGCAAGTTCCTCCATCAATTAGGGGGCAGGCAAGGAAGGACTTCCCTCAGATCCTCAGCCCCTCTTAGCTGCTCTTGTAGCTGCTTATGACCAAGTAGAGAGGAGCAGACATTTCCCTCTTCTTCTCCACCACCCACCAATTCCACCAGGGGCCCAATCACTGTGCCCTTTCTGAGGCCATCTCTGGTCTGCCTCCATGGAGTCTGAAAGGTCCTGGGCCCTACCAGGCTTGATTTGTGGAGGCTGGGGTTCCAGAATGCCAAATGGAGTTGTTCTTCCTGTGCTGGGGTAACCTGCCTTAACCTCAGTGAATCTAAGAGCCCCCTAAACTCCTTTTACCATCCCTGATTCTTTTCTCTCTCCTTCTGAGAAGTAGCACACCCAACTCCTAGCAAAATGCACAATAGCTTAAAAGTTGAATATTCCTTCCCAAAGTCTAATGATTTATTTTCAGTGAAGGACCAGGCCCTAGATCTAGAGTGGAAACCTCAGAAGGAGCCCCCGATCTTTAGCCCAACTGCCCTTAGTTGATGTTTAGACTAATTGCATTTTCTGTGCTATCTAATAGTTGTCATGCATGTTTTATTTTGTTTTGATTTTGTCAAAAATAATAGCTTGTATATATCAAACACATAGAACTGTTTTGATTGGAAATAAATATCCAAGTCCCAGCCAAGCTGTCAAGGGACTGATGTTGATTTTTTTTTTTTTTCCAAAACATTTTGGATTCCCTCTCTGATGTTTTTCAGGCAACAAAATTCATTTTTTTCTTTCCTGGTTGCAGTTTCACTGTAGGTATTGACTTGATTGTTCATTAAATGAGAAAATATCTTCCAAGTCAGTCAGGAAATGGTGTATAAAAGCCTATGAACAAAGTGTGTATGAAATACCCAAAGAGGGGGATTCGTTGACAGATTTGAGTGTGTCTCACACACTAAGCAAACCCTCAGCTTACTGCTGGCAGGGGTTTCTGCATTTTGCCTAAATTAGCAAACTTGAACGCATGCTGTTGGGGGGGGGGGCTGCCAAGATATGAGATTCCTCAGATTTCAATACAAACATCTCTCCCTGCCATGTTTTGGGTCAGGCTTCTCTGGAAAAAGATATGCCCTATGGAAAACCTCCATACTGGCACCTATGCCTGCAGCCCAAAAAACTCCCTTGGGAAATGTGGTCTCTGCATCCCTTGGCCTTCAGAGCCTGTAGTTCAGGCAGGGAAAGCAAGGGCCTACTGTATTCACCATCCTCTTACAGACCCCAGGCCCAGTTAACTCGGAGATGGAAAGTAGAAAATTGCTAGCTTTTAGCAAATGGGACAATTAACAAAACTGCTAAATCTCTAATACTGAGTATTCAGTGTTTCCAATTACCCGTCCCACAAGTGAATTTGATGTGCACTTTAAAAATAGTTTTTAAACAGCTCCTTTAAAAAACACAACAGAGGAAAAAGGAACCAAGAGGCTGTGGAGGCTCTGTCTTTAGAAATGTTTTCCCATCTTGTGGGGCTCAGAGAGGCACTGGTACCCGGAGCTGGGTCTCAAAACATCTAAACAAAGGCGGAGGCCATACTCAGACCTCAGGTTCCAAGGGCTGGGTAAAGGATCAGGAAACCGGACGTAAACCCAGGACCTGCAACAACACTCAGAGGCCGTTTCTTTTCAATATATACCATTAAATCATCTTGGTTTTTTGTTTGTTGGTTGGTTTTTTCTTTAGCCTGGGATGTGGGGTGGGAGGAGATATCCATGAAGACCACTCCCCAAATAACTGAAATTATTCTAATTGTAAAATCTTGTCTCTCACGTATGGCTTCAGCAATGTTTTTCAAATCTATCCATTTTACTGATCTGCACAAATACAAAGGCGGCGGTGTCCTCTCTCCCTTCGGTAGCCGAAATCGCGGCAGGGATTGGTAACCACGATGAAATTCTTAAGAAACAAACGCTGGAGAGAAAGGATGCTGAAATCTGAGTACTCAACATTCCCTCGCATAAAGACAAATATGTTCTCCGAAATGCTGTAGCCCAGGCAGGCCTCTTTCAAAAAAAAAAGGGGGGTGGGGGGGTTAAACGAGAAAAAAACAGCCTCGTCTGGCATTCAATCGGCTACGAACTCAGAGGGCCTACCCGAGGACGTTTTAAGGCCTGGGGGCTCTCCCCAAGGGAGGTTGCCTGGGGAGGCTTCCCGGAAGCCGGGGGATGGGGTGAAGGAGAAATCCAGAACCGTTGTAAATATTCATGTGTGTGCCTCTGTGTGTGTGTGTGTGTGTGTGTGTGTGTGTGGTGGTGGTGGGGTGCCCCTTCACCCCGCCTCTCCCAGCTGCATCCACCCACCTTAGAGGCGGTGGGGGTGGGGTGGGGGTCTCGGCGCCTGTCTGATCGTCCTTGGACAAAGGTGATCTCCCCACATTTTTTTGTTCTCCAATCACTTGACTTAAGAAGCCCATTCTGAAGGCTCTACAGGAAGGGACTGGCTCCGGGTGTTTTCCCCGCGTTTCTCCTCTTCTTTCGTTTCCTAAAAGAGCATAAATAATTAAAGTTTGGCAGGAAAGAAAAGCTTTCTTGCAGAACTGTAGTGGCAATAAATGAAATGACTCAGAATCCCTTCCCCAGTCAGCTTTTACGAGAGCTGCCAGACAGTGTCTGTTCACGTTCTCCAGATACCAGGGGCGCCCTGACAAAGTTAAGGTCAAGTTAGTGTCTTATCTTGGGTGGCTCAAAATTACCGCATCGCGTCCGAGCGCTGCTCCGAAAGCTGTCACTCGTGGAGCTGCTGGCTGTGCCGGGAGGGTCCAGTGCGCTTCTTGCGCTTCGAGTTGGGGCCGCTCAGGCAAGAACAAGGCCACAGCGCCGGGGTCTTCACGGTAGGTTCTCGAGCGGGACGCGCGGGTTGGGAGGTTGCGGTTTTCTTTGGGTTTGGGGTAAGATCCATCGAGCAGGGAGCTGGGGCCAAAAACTAAGCGGGCTGGGCCCAGAACTAAAACCCTGGCTTGGGTGTGGGGGCGGGGGTACGTGCAAACGCGTAGAGTGGGGGCCAGGCCCCTTTCCCCTATACACCCGAGCGCCGCTGCACATGGCGAACCCTCCCCAGCCAAAGCGCGGCTCCTGCCGCAGCCGGAGCCGCCATCGCCATGTCGTTGAACTTGAATGGTTCGTCCTCCACATTTCCCTCTTAGGCGGTCAGCAGGCTCTTCTTTGGGGTTAGAAGGATACTTGCAGAGAGAAGGTGCGAGAATTTTGTGCATCCCGGACACATACAGACTCGGCTGGGGGGGGCCGCAGCCGTTGCCCTAGGTCCTGAGCCGCCGCAGGGCTAGTGTGCAGTGTCCCGGGAGCCATTTTAGGAGAAAGATCCAGGGGCGTCGACTACGAGCTTGGGCCGGGGATGCAGATGGGGAGGCAGATAACTGTGCTGGCGTTCTGGGCTGAGAAGAAGGGGGACGAGCTGGAATCTGGGTAAGGGTGCCAGCTGCGAAGGGGGTACACACAAGGATGGGCAGTTCTGGGGGGCGGGGGAGGTTCCTTGCCCTCCAGTCGCCGCTGATCAGTTTGCGCTGTATTCCGAGCCAAGCCGAGGTAGGAGGGGGGCGGAGAAGGGTGAGTGGGAGGGAAAAGGGGAAGGGAGGAGAAAAAGAGGAAGGGGGGGTACATTGGCCAGAAAATAGATATGAGCTCCCATCACCCGCCTTTTCTCTGTCTGTCGGCATGGTGGGCAGTACTCACTTCATGGGCATTGCGGTGGCCAGGGACAGGGAGGGAAAACCAGCTTCACAGCCTGCACGCCTGACCTGGGCGTAGTGCTGAGACTCAGGACAGTGCTTCCCATTGCTTAGAGGAATCCTGGGGAGAGGAGCAACTTCCTAACCTGGATTGTGGGATTTAGGTTTTCAGGAGCTTCTTTCTGAGAGTCTGATTTTACCTTTGGAACACTCTGGCTCTTCCGGAGGCAGGAGCCCAGGCCTTGCCTGGACCCCTAGGCTAGGAAAGAGACATGAAGTAGCCACCAAGAAGGGTGATGCCTTTGGGGCAAG